GGCAAACCTTCATCGGTCACAATGGCTGTATTGGGGGCAAACCTTCATCGCTGCAAACCTTCAGTGCAGAATGGCCGGGCGTTCTATTCGGGTGAAGACGTTAAGGGAGAGATCATCCACAAGAGGGAGCCCTCTAACAAAAAGGAACCCTTCACCAAAAGGGAGCCCTCTACAAAAGGAGCCCTGCACCAAAAAGGGACCCCTCTACAAAAGGAACCGTCCACCAAAAGGGATCCCTCTTCGAATAGGGCCAGGTGCACGATCTGTACTTCCACAGCGCACACGTCCAAAGACATTCTGACACGGTTATGTAGGGCATTTTGAAAAGCTGCAGAGGTATATGTTGGTCTTTTCTCTCTTACTGGCAGGCCTATCAGAACAGCGATTTCGTCAGAATTATATTTTTTGAACCAAATTGAAATGTCATTTCTTGGGCAAAAAAGCATGAAATTGAGGGTACAGCGGTCTGAAAACGCCGTACCCCTTGGGTGTATCTGGACTTTGGCAAATCCAGATACATCTGTAACAGCTTGCTTTCTGAAAACGCTGTACCAATGGGGGTGTACCTGCAATTAGGCATTCGAGGAGGTAGAGTCAAAGATTTGCCTGGTGTTAAAAAAAAAAAANAAAAAAAAAAAAAAACATTCTATTCGAGGAGTGGAAGACTTTACAAGGGGAAAAATAATAATAATAATAATAAATAAATAAATAAAAAAGACTTACAAGGAACTCCTAATCGACGTCGAGGAACACCGTGAGAGTGGTATGGTCCTGCGCACTCTAACAGGCCCATCGAAGGCAACCCGTGTCAGACTATCCCTGGACGTGGGTAGTGGCCAGGGCACTGATCTGTATGGAGACAGAGTGCCCTTCCAGGTGCGGGATTCTGACAAGACGACCGCGGGGGATTTTGTAAACCTGCAGGGTTAATTTGCACCTTGACCTATTGAACAGAAAAGGAAAAAAAAAAAAAAAAAAAAAAGGCTGATACGGGAATATGCACCGCATGCATGATGGCTGCCAGAACAATTATGCATCACAACATCTCTTTTCTCAGTGTTCTCGCAAACAACACGATCCTGAGCCGATCTTAGGTGACAAGGTGAGAACTCAGTCAAAAGTCCAGACAGTCCATCGGCTTGTGGAAATCATGATGACCGGCGTGTGATGCCGAAAAAAAAAAAAAAAAAAAGAGAAAAAAAAAAAAAAAAAATTATGCATCCCGCGCACTGGTGATAAATTAATAATAATATAACAAACCAACGAATAATATACTAAAAAAAGTATTGATTTATTTTGAGAGACATGGTTCGGGCCCGGACCTATGACTCGATTTCTTGTGCAAAGAAGAGAGGCCGAGGGTTCCATACTCGACTGCCGTCTTCACCCGAATAAAACGCCGGGTCATTATCCTTCCATCCGTCTGTGGTTATTATCGCCGCATCTGGTCTGGAAGCTGCCCCAAATACAGTTATCATGACCGGGCGTTCTATTCGGGTGAAGACGGTAGGCGCGCGGGATAGAGTGATTGCTAACTCATCAGGCTCATAATCTATATGTTGTACCTTTTTTTTTTTTTTTTTTTAAAGCTAATTCTTTAAGCCCAACCAATTCAATTACCTGTCAAATCTGGACAGGACGGCCTTTCAGGCCTTTTTTATTGTCATTCAACTCCTCCCGCCAATCTTCCACCAATTAATAATAACATATACGAAACAAGCAAACCCAGTGCGGCTACGCCCGAGCAAATGGGAAAATAAAAACATATCAATGAAATATCCGAGGTCTAAATGTACTCTCTCTCTCTCTCTCTCTCTCTCTCTCTCTCTCTCTCTCTCTCTCTCTCTCTCTCTCTCTCTCTCTCTCT